TTGTCACGTGACTTGCATAGAAATAGAGTCGCGAAGCTGAATGTAGGAAATGGGGATAGTGCAAGGGCATTCGCTTGTTTTTCAAGAAAAAAATTGCTACATGTACACATTAAAAGAGGTTTATTTCCTCTACCCACAAAGTGCTGGGATCTAGTCGGTGCTGTTTGCGAAGTACTTAAAATGTTGCCAAAAATGCATATAATAGCTAAAAGTTTCCATTTCGCTTAAATTCTGTCATAAATGAAATGAATGAATTGCAGACCAGGATCAGCACACAGCACTTTTCAAAATAAACCCTATATAAGCAAAAAATTATTCCAAATTTCAGCTCAAACAAAATAGTCTATGCCCTTGCACTTTTAATGTAAATCACGAATACACTCTTCGTTTTAGAGATATTCTCTAAATTCCTTATCCAGCTTCAATGCGACTAGATAAATTCATTTTCCATGCATATTGTATTGAATAAATTATTTTAATTTTAATCATTAGGTCTAAAAATTAGCAATGGTATCATATTTATTTAAGCATTCTTGTAATTATTAAACCAGTGAATCTAGTCCCCTAGATCACCTGTGCTGCGTCATGTGAAGGCTGATGACGTCATATTTGACGAAAGGCTTTCTTCTATTACTCGACTGTATTGCTATCAAGTATTGCAATTTTACAAGATTTTATAAATAATCGATAAAATAAATAAATTCAAGTTGTTATTTACGCATGATCATGTCGTTAATTTTTGTGGCTGGTTAAATTTCAATGACGTTACAATTAAACTTCCAATACGATGTACAAGGAATGTGAACTCTGACCTTCCTTAACATAGCTGAGCCGAAAAATGACAAAACTGTGTAAAGAAGTCATGTGAAAAGATAATAAAGTATTGTTTATCTTTCAACATAGTAAATTGTAAATATTGAAAAGATTTTTTTTTTACATTTATGGTCTGAAACTTTGAAATTTTGCGTTGGTAGGTAACTTTCATGATGCCACAAGAGAAGCTGTCGAACAGATGAGAAATACTTCTATCATCTTGCGCCTTAGTGTCATATTAATGTACAGATATTACATGAACTCCACTTTTTTCTGTATGAAGACAAGGCAAAAGTATGCTTTGAAATGAATGGATACAAAGACGGTTGCATCTGAAGAGAAAACATGAAAAAACCATTTGGAAACTCTCATATTATATCATCAAAGAGCATATAAAAACCCTACCAATTATTATGTGTGAATTATGTTTAAAGTAATGGAATATTATCAAAATTAAGTTATAAATCATTTTTAAAATATGTTTTGTTGACATGTTATATAATTTTGCTTTATGACAATGTGATCTTAATTTGTGGGAAACACCGTGTGAGTTTAAAAAGTTTGTTCAGCTGTAAAATAGAATATTATATGGTCTTGTCGTTGACTTGCAGAAAAGTAGGTCGACTATTTTTTTTTATAAGATCATTGATGAGGGAGAAAATTATTATTAGATATGAAATATTAAGAATCGTCTCTACACTGCACAGTAATTCATTGGTAAATATTTCATTACATTTATAAAGGGTACATTTGTGCAGAGAAATTGACTGATGAATCGAACTGTAGCGCTTTAAAGTTTTCCTGGTATATTTGGTCTTTGACCATAACGCTTTGGTCAGAGACTAAAATATAAAAACCATAACGCTATAGTTCTACAGCCAATTTAAACTTATCAACTATTTGATAAATAAAATGAAATAAATACCGCATTTATTTTATTTCAAATTGCCAATCTGTATTGTATATATAATTTTTAATTAATTTAAGAAATCAAAGCCTTAGACCAAGATAGATAAAGGAAAAAGTATTTTTTTATTATCTGTGCATATGGACTTTATTGTCTTTAAACAGATTGTGCATATATAATGTCCAACGACAAACCTCATACGAAAATCTGAGAAATCTTTTAACATTCTAGGAAGGGGGTGGGTACTGAAATGCGTGTAGCTTCAAAATGAATCTGATTACTTCATATTTTAACCTTAAGTCAATTAAAATGACAAGTACAGCTCATATTAGTTTTGGGAAAATTAATTTGTTATTTTTTAATTTGTTAGTTTTATCATCATTTTTTCTAGCACTTTAAAGCTTCAACCGTAAGCCAAAAACCAAAAGTCTTCATATAAAACCTCTTTCAATATAAATATATAAATGTATACCTATATATCAAAAGCAAGTCCTACATATTTTTTTCAATCATTTGTTCGAATTCTTGAGAAAGGTGAATATAATTACCGGCATTCAAAAATAAATAAATAAATAAATGTACTTGTAATCATATACCTTAATTTGAAAATGGTAATTTTAGCTACTAGGGGATTTATTTCGAAATGAAACCAATCTATCAAATGTTTTTATTTGCTTGTTGTTAAACGTGCAACTCGAGAATCTTTCACTGATTTTGGACACTCCATCACTGGCCGTGGAGAGCTGCAAATTTTGTTTTAAAATATAAACCCGGTACTCAGGGCCATTGAGCCAGGAGGGATCATATTTGTGCCAGCTTGAAACGGGACCCCGGTTAATACTTTTTTTTTTCTCAGAAGTACCGGTCTCTACGTTCACAGTGGGATTTGAACCTGCAACGTAAGGATAAACTCATTACTCCGCAACTCTAAAATAGATGCGTTAACCACTGTGCCATGCGGGAAACCTTAAGTGTTTGAAATCGACTTAAAAGATATAAATTGTTATATTAATATGACAAAAACATATGTTGACAATGTTAACTTATATGATAAAGTTGTCATGAATGAATGTCATTGATTTTTTGTTAGCAATAAATATACGATATTTGAGGAGCATTTATATTTAAAACAATGCATTTCAAAATTCATAGGCCAGTTTTCTTAATGATTTTAGGTTTCATTCCAGACCAGATTCAGATGGGTATGTATACATGTACTCTTTGATAGTTTTAATAACGATTTAAAGGAAGAGAATGCGACAACATCAAATAAATCTACCTAAATAAGTCAGATAAGGAAAGCCTTGATTTCTTGAATTTGCGCGCTGTTAAACTATGTTTTTGTCTCGATGTCCTTGTATTTTTCCCACTTATTGACAATTTTTAACAATAACTTATATAAAGAAATTTTAGCAGATTTAATTCATATAGGGAAATTGAGAATGATTTTTTTTTTCAAATTGGAGAAAAATTGACAATTACTCTAACAATCCTGCGTAAAAATCTGTGACGAATCACTCAAATATGTAGATTCATGATACATACTTACAAAATAGTTATTTTATTTATTACATTGGAAAGGACTTATATAGGTCATGCCTGATGTCCAATCCAGTTATGCAATCTGAAATAATAAGATATTGATTAAATTAATTAAAATAGTTGTCAAAATATTTGTTAAATGAAACATATGGAGATAACAAACAGTATTCAAGATTAAATTCCTTAAAACAATACAAAACAGGAGCATGCTCACTCCTCCATGGCATCCGATCCCACCTCTGATGATTTTGAGGTCTGTGTTTGCTCTGATCCTTTTTCTTTCTATTCTTCTATGGATTTTTTGATACTAAATACTGTTGTTCGTTATCTCATATGTTTAATATCCTTTCAGATTTGGTAACAATCTGCGAGAAAGGTTGGGTCTCGTATGAAGAGAGTTGTTATTATTTTTCAACGTCCACAGCCACATTTAAAGATGCCCTGGTATGGTAATAGTTTTACTTTTATTTTATCTTGAAAAGTTTTGAAATTATTTCAATTTCTTAATTTAATGTTTATCAATACACTAAAATGTATATTGTTAAATTTTATTTAATAAACCATAACTACCCTTTGACATTAACGTAAAAAGTATATTTATGCTGTTCTTATTTTGTCTCTTTTCCTTCAAAATGTTTATTTCTGTTTTCTAATTTTAAATTCCTATTTTTTTCATGCTGGTTGCACACAAAGGTGTTTTTCGCAGTGAAATGTGTTATATGCTTGTTCTGAAATATCTATAAAATTCTTTCTTATGAATTCTTTCGACGATTTATGTAAAATATAGATAATATATTCTGAAAATCCAGGAAAAATTTGAGCCAAATTAAATATAAAAATGACACTTTTTTTTTTAGAAAAATCTAAAAATCTACAACATATATATATATAACATATATTCTTTTGATGTTCTTTTCTGAATATTTAAGATAACTTCGCAGCTAGGATAAGGCTGTCCGTAAAATATCAAACTCTTGTAACTGTAGTAACTTCTCTGGACTTTCTAGAGATGACGTCATAATATAATATGACGTCAAGTCACTGCATAATTGAGCTGACATGACGTGGAAAGTGTCATAATTTTTAAAGGGCATGTAGATTTTTTTTTGGTGGGGACTTGTTGTATAATTCAAGTATAGAGACTGCTATTTAAGCTCGAGTGTGCTGTTATGATGTTGAACATTTGAATTTCAAACAAGGATTACATATTAAAATCAAAACCTAAGTCAAATTAAAATGTATATTTTTAATGCATTTTACGCCCTCGGACAGCCTTATCAGAACAGGGTTTGGCATATCTGCTTACATTATGCAAAAATTCTTTCTTTAAAAATGTCAGATACTTTTATTTCTTAAACCCTCTGAGCACAAAACATTTTGTAGTCGTCATGTTATCGGATGGGCGCAAAACTCTTGGAACTTCAGAATGCAATGGAAGAAAAATGGTTTGATAACCAAATCCGATTACTAGGTATAATTTTATAAATTGAAAACATTTTAGACACTATCAAAGAGAAGTGTTATATGTATGCTGATTGTCACTGATTTATTAAATCTATATAAAAATATCTTTTTATTGCTTTTTATAATAAAAATAAAATATATTTTTATTTCTATTCCGTTGAAATTCATTTTAATAATCTATCAATTAAAAAAAAATGATACACTCTTCTGTCATAGAAAATTTGAAAGGTTATGCTGTGTACGATGAATAAGGTTTAAATGCATTTCATAATAGGTCATTCGCCCCAGGTCTGGCTTGGTGCAAGTGATACTCAACAGGAAGGAAAGTTTATATCTGTCTCAAAGGCTGAAGGACTTCCTTATAGCCACTGGTTAAAGGGACAGCCTGATAACTACGGCGGAGGAGAAAACTGTGTGACCTACTGGGTCTCTTATAGAGCGATGAATGATGCACCATGTAACTACAAGTATACTTATGTATGCAAAATATAAAAATATGAAAATAAAAGGCCTTTCATTTTATGTGAATTAAACCTGTTTTGATATTAGTTTTTAATTTCAACTCGGATTACACTATTATATAGAAATAAACATTGTCCCTAGAACACATTGAATTCTATGGTTAACTAAATCTCATTCTTTATTTCTTTTTCCAAAATAACCCCTTTAAATGATAATGATAACAAAATAAATATGCACTTTGCATTAATTTATCCAAAATGCTTAAAGCTTCAACTCTTTTTGTGAAAAATATTTTTGGACCAGAAATTAACTCCCAAAAATCCGACTTATAGGCGAGTATATATGGTACACGGAGAAAAAAGTACTGTAAAATCACAAAGTTTTTAGAGTCAGGATTTTGTTGTTTGAGGAAAATAAATTGCTTCATCGAGGAGATTTGATTTCGTGGTTGAGGAATTTTCATTGATAATAAATGAGAATAAAAATGTATTTCGTGATAGACATAAATTTGCAGATCTCCTCATACCTTGAAAACAAGGCAAATTAAATTCCGACGAAAATTGCTGATTTCATAGTACTTTGCTTTCTATAGTTTAGTTGAATTTTATCATATTGCTCATGAATTTTGCATACCAGAAGGTATACCATATTTCTCAATTTGATCAATATATGTAGAAACTGAAGTATTTGAAGTATTAGAAGAGTCAGAAGGTTGTCTGCAATCTTTTTCAGGAGGTTGTATTTCGGAATAAGGTGTTTTCATGGTTCATAGTAAAGACATTTTTCATCTAGAATTTAATAGTTTCCTTACCTTGTTCATCCCTGGATAAAGAATCTCCAAAGATAGCATAATGCATGTTTAAGATAGATACCTTTCAACCACACAGGGAGACTTCCATGTGACAAACACTTGTTAAAATATATTACGAGAAAACTTTGTATGTTTCTCATCAATTACCAGAAACAAACGCAACTCTTTGGATCTTTCCATTGTCATTCCAGTCCTTGTGCTGATATAAATATATGTTGTACAGTTAACGCAGTCCGACGTTAACGTTGATATGTGCAGAGTATGCTTTTTGTTAAGGTGGCGATGTAACACCCCATAGCATATTTTGTTAAATGTGATAATACTGTTTTTCCAGCCTCTTTAATGTACTAAGGAAATAGTTTTTCATAAAACTTAAATACAGTACAGGCCACGAGTTTTCCGCAAAAAAACATGGGGCCCCGTGGACCGCAAGTCCACGCTTTAGCGTGGACGTCGAACCTTGTCGGCGTCTTTGAAATCAGCGTGTCTGTGCACCGTGTAACACGGTGTGTCACAGTTCTGATTATATTCTCATTGCCCTTATTTAATAAAATTAAATCAACTTTCTTTCGAAATATTTGCCATAAATTAATACATATTATTATATTGGTAATTTATCGCATACAGATAATCAAACTAATAAGATGCCTGAAGATTTAATAACAACGTACTCGTGTCCAGCAAAAAAAAAATATACAATCACGTTTCAAGTTTAATCCTAATTATATTAGTCATTAAAAGTTCAATAGACTATTATTATATTACACTAAGAGGAAACACACTTTCATAAATGAATTACTTAATTGTCTCTACTTTCGATTTTGATTTTAACTGTGTTCAATTAAGTCGTTGATACAAGATCGTTTTTCCCTTCGTATTACATATCAGATGCGTGATTATACTAAGTGAATTAATTATTTTGTAAGAATTTTAAATGTGCATGTACTGTGTCTAGATTATTTAAAAAAAATACGTATCAGACTAACACATTAATTCTGCTCTTTGATACCGATACCGATACTCGGCGAATCATTGGACAGGTTCAGATGAGGATTATTGCATTTAGACTAACACTAAAAATCTGTAATTATGTAAAATATGGAGATAAATATTGAATGCGGTAAACTCGAAAATCTACTGAACAGGCAAAGATGATAATCTGAATAATTTCATTAATTAAAATAGTGATAAACTTTATTAGTAAACACGCTGAATACAAAAATCACAGCCGAATTTTTGGCAAATGAAATGTGCAAACTTCAGTACGAATATTACTTCATTCTGAAATATATCGTGTGAAAAGAAGAAAAAACGGTTTGAGAAAACATAGACATTTAGCGATTTTTAAAAATGCCCCCTCCCCGTCTTCTAGAAAGCGATACGAATCAGCTGGTTAAAACTTTATCAGAAGTCTGCAAATTTATGTTATGTTTTTTTTTAAATCTTAATCTACGGGATATATTCTTATTTGTGTCTGAAAAAGGATAAATAAGTCAACAAATAAATGTAAGTTTATAATTGTTGTTGTAGTGAAACCTGGAAGGTGAATTTCGCATGATATCAGTTGAGTGTGTTACATGTTATACACTGGCTGTGGTTAGAGCTAAAGAATTTGAAAGGTGTGATAAACATACGGCGCCCCTGGCCCACCGGCAGAGACCCAATATATTTTTTTAACAGATGTGAACTCGGAACTGACCATAAGATTGTTTCAAATCACAAGAGAAATTCTTTCCGCGTAAACAGACTTTCAAGATCACCTAGCGTCATGGTATTTTGATTGGCAGGTGATGCATGAGAAATTTGTGCGTACAGCATATACAAAGAACGCATTAATTGCATTAAATGGGTTGAATATGAACAAAAGTTGTGGCAATTAAATAGAAATATAGAATGATTAATTGTGACCTTCTTAACTTAAATAAAACGAAGAATTAAAAAAAAAAATACACACTATACCCAGCAGGCACGCAACGTTGTTTCAACGTTGAAAGGAGGTGGAATATAGGTTGCAACGTTAATCAACTATATTTCAGCGTTGTTTCAACGTTGAGGTTTCAACGTTGAATCTTCAACTTTTTTCAACGTTGAAACAACGTTGAAGCTGCAACATATTTTCAACGTTGAATGTTCGTCGATATTTCAACGTTGAAACAACGTTGAGGCTGCAACATATTTTCAACGTTGAATGTTCGTCGATATTTCAACGTTGAAACAACGTTGAAGCTGCAACATATTCTCAACGTTGAATGTCCGTCGATATTCAACGTTGAAACAACGTTGAAGATTCAACATGTTTTCAACGTTGAGTATTTTCTGATATTGTAGAGGTAAAACAAGGTTTAAATGTCATTTGATTTCAACGTTGAAACAACGTGGAAGATGCAACATATTTTCAACTTTAGGAAAGTTAGGAAAATTTAACGTTGAAACAACGGGTTACAAGTATTGAGCACTTTAGTTTTTAAGTTCAAAATATAAAGGTGTCTTTAAATTCTAATCCATGCGATTTTTCGCAATATACACACAGCTGTATGCATTGTTAGAAAATATTATGTATATAATAATCATACTTAATAAATGAAACGCATGCATTATAAATTGATTTACTCAAAAGAGTTGTGCCAATAGCTAGTACCATTAAAAAATTTTAAATATGAGTTTATATGAACCATGGCATCTACATTTAACGCTTCATTATAGTTATTTTTCAAAAAAGGTTTGCTTTTTTTTTTTAATAAATTGTGAATGCTATTTTTTTGACATATTTATAAAATATGTTCAATATAAGCTTTTAATAAATAATAACATCTTTATCCAACATCTCATTGTAATTCCATGTTACTCTAGAACTAATAAAAATAATTATTCCGAATTAATTAATGTTCTTAAAATTAGACTCATATGGATCCGTGCCGTATACTATAGTACTCTTGCGCAGATTATACGTATACAGAGCGAATCTAATAAGTCTTATTTTTATTAAATTGTGCTTTTTGTTGTGTGTATTAATTCTATAATCTTTCTTTTCACAAAATATAAAAAAATTCAAATAAACACATAAGAATTTTCACACTGACAATTAACCCCGGTCAAGTTGCATTACTTAAGATCCACTCCCCAAAAACCTTCGAGATATCAGATAAGGAGTGCCTCTCGCTTAGTTGGTCAGTTTCAGTGTCAGGATAACCTTGTTATGCAATTTTCTTGCTGGGCAGAGTATAGCTGTTTGCAGCTTATCTAGGTCAAAATTTGAATTCAACTGATGGACAAGAAGTGCGCGTCTCCTTGCTGTTCATATTTAATGTGTTTTTCAAGCTATGTACACAAGGATTTAGGCTGGAGTATCAACTTCTGCTCAGTAAGTATTATTTCCTTTTCATGAATTTAAGAAATTAAGTTTTTTTAGTATCTGTTCATCATTTAATTCTTGTTTTATAAGTATATATGAAATCTGCGTGAAGTGCACATCCTTGGTCAGTGTATTATGTGTTTTGTTGATATTCATTTGGTTATGAAATATAAGCTAGTATACTAATATATTATACAATTTAACTAATTGTAGTTCGTCGTAGGGTTCAATCAACCAGTGGTGCAGGGAATTAATTGTATATATAATCAGCCTTGATTGCATCAGATTCTTCGCCCGTGAGAATTATACTAAGGAATGCAACATTTTGTAAGTACACTATATATGTATGTCTATAACATTTTTCTTTAGTTATAATTATTTATAAGCATACTCATACGAATTTTAACATGAAGTCAACTATAATTCTTTTAATCATGTTAATTAAATCAAAGTACCGAAATATATTCCTTTGTCTATTTTTTTAAATTCATGTATATTTATTTTTATCGTTTGAAATAACGTGTTACGTACATTTTATCGAACAAATGGCTTTAACATCTTTATTTCTTTTATCAATAGGCTTTTGCTTTAGAGGGTGGATTCTCCTGTTCATTTCTTTCATTCGTTGGATTTAACTATATGCTTGATTAAAATCAATGGATCCGCCACTTTGTGGAACTAAGTAGTGTAAGGCAGACGCGTACTTTGAAGGCAGGCGCGTTCTTTGAAGGACCTGGATGTGATTACTGTGACCCAATTTTCACAAGGAATATAAATTTTGCCAAGCATTGATTTTTTAGATTCAGTGATTGAATCCGAATTTGTGTTTGTCTTAAAAAACATGTAAAATAAATTCTCTCACAATCA